TAAACGCAGGCCATTTGCTGCCCGCAGTTCTGCCACGAGTGATGGTGGACCCGCCCAGGCTTGCCAGACTCAGCACACCGTGCAGCTCTGGTCAGCGTGTTGGAATATGGCGCAGCACTGGAGATCGAGTCCCGAGTCAAAAGCTGTCGCTCTGCGCTTTTGGCATGCTGTGATGATGGCATCGTACCGTGACGAGCATGCTGTTTTAATAAAACGAAATGGGACCAGTGGGCGTGAATGGCAATGCCTTGCAGCGGCCACAGATTGAGGTAGCACGAGGTACCTTGCAAGCGGGCCGCCGCTGGATTTGGCACCCTGAAGCGTAATCGTGCTATGCCTCGACCGCCCTTGTCGGCACCACCGCCTTCTCAGGCATGTGTGCTGGCCCAACACCGCAACTCGCTCGGCCTCCGTCCAGCTCACTACCCTTCACTTTTGCGTGTGAATACACTGCATCGTTATAGCAACATTGTCTGGTTCTCCCAGCCGTTGATCCTGTGCGTGACAACCAATCGTTTCAGCATCGTACCTTGATATCCGTGCACGCTTGCTCGCTGGATTCCGGGCGCGCTATGACAGTGACAGTCTGACCTGTCTGACGGTCCTCCGAGCAGCGTCCTTTGTTCGTTCCTCCGTCCTCCTCGAGCCTACCAACGCCTCACCCAAACGCCAGAGACGTCTGTGACGGGTCTCTGCCTCGGACCCGACTGCACTGCTTGCTCTTCGCTCAGTGCCTGGGTGCTCTCTCCATGCATTGCCTCTCCTAGCAACATCCGGGTGCGAGCTTCACACCTCGTTCCGCCTCTTTGATACCATAGACGCCAACAATACCAACATGGCGACCTCGCTGCTCCCCCCGAGCGGCATAGCCCTTGTCGGGGCTCCGGATAGCGACGCCGGACTTAAGGACGACAGACGACCGCCTGTGCAGGCCATGCAGGTGGACATTACCCAGGACATTGTCGACGAGCTCCTGGCCAGTGTCAGGAGCGGAAAATCACCGCAGATAATCTTCGGACGGACTCCAGTATGTGTGCACGCTTGGTGTTGTGTTGCTACCTAGGTGTTCCTGGGTGGTTCGACCCGGAATGGGGGCTGGCACGAGCTGGGCTAACCACAACAACAGCAACTCAAGTATGGCGACAAGACGCACATGCTGCAGAGCAGCAGCGAGCTCCACCGATACGAATTGTACAAGTCCAGCGGGACTGGCAGCCCGGACAGCCTCGAGTTCGCGGGCATGATCAACCACAGTCTGATGGTACACAAGGCGGAGGACGTGACGGCAGGCGTAGACTCGGCGCTGGAGCAGCTTAGGAGTAACATGGCTGCGATATCAGAGTTCAAGGAAGCCAACAAGTATGCCTCCCCGGTATCCCATGGCTGCCCACGATCTCTGGCATCAAGTCGAGAGACTCGAGCACCCCTGTCGCGGATGATTGCCATGATGAGACCCAGTTGTGTATACCAGGACTGACAAAGATTGCTGCAGGACCATTGTTGGCGATGCTGCTCCCGGGCGCACACCAGCCCATCGCCGCTTCCCGTCGACGGGCTTCAAGGCATCGCACCTCGCTCCTTCCATGCTGGGCTCGCCCTCGCTCAGCGCATCATCGTCGCCCATGCACAAGCGGGCTCCTACCTCGCAGCCGAGCAACAGCCATGACGTGATCGTCAGCGCGCTCAGGGTGCCCATCATCCACCTCCTTGCGCGGGAGCCCGCCACCGAGGCCTCTCTCGCCGCCACCTGCAGGACGTCGCTGGTCAACATACGAGATGTCCTGCCCAAGATAGCCAAGCGCTCCACTGCCGACGCCGACAAGTGGCAGCTGACAGACAAGTCGTTCCGTGAGGTGAATCCGTTCAAGTTCCCCTACCAGAGCGTCGAGGACCGGCAGCAGGCCATTGATGGCGCCATCAAATCGTTCGACCGCCAGCGGCTGGCAAAGGACGACAAGCTCTGGCAGATCCTGCTGCCCCGTGACCAGAGAGGCCAGGGCATATGCTTGTCGCGCTCGACGGTGAAGGCGCCGGAAGCTAAGCCCAAAGCGAGCACCCCAATGCACAAGATATCTGATCTCACCAAGAAGAAGACGGTCACGAAGAAGGCTGTCGATAAGCCCGCAGTTGAGAAGAAACCCAAGGTCGCCAAGGAAGTAGAGATCAAGCCCAAGTCGTCCATGAAGGAGAAGTACCTGGCCCGTGAGAAGGCAGCTGCGGCCGCGAAGGAAGTGAGCGTGAAAGAGGTGAAGGAGGAGCAGCCCACAATAGCAACAGCCCCAGCCTCTTCGACGCCTTCAAGCTCAACTCCTCGCCCCGTCGCACCTTCCAAATCCAATACACCTGCCGCCGACGCCTCGAAGATACGCAACAAGAAAGCCCCCGCTTCAGAAGGCACCACCAACCCACGCGCAAAACCCAAGATGAGTGGCCGCGATTCCCAGCGAGACCGCCCCGCCAACCGGCCTTTCAAGCCCACTATGCCCATCAACACCAAGCCGAAGAATCCCTCGCCGCTGTCCGCCTCGCCGCCTGTCAATGCCAGCGACTTCGAGGACTCGCACCCAGTCCACAAGGCCCTTGCGGCAGCTCCATCGCCTGCCAAGTCCGGTGGTAACTCTGACCGTTTGCTCAAGCGCAAGGCGAACGACATCGACAGCGACATTCACAACCACAACCTGGCTGTGAAGAAGCCGAGTGGCGACCGCGCAACTCCTACTCACACCCCCTCTCACGCCAACGGCAAGGCCAACGGCTCTACCCCTTCCAGTACTAGCTCCTTGAAGCGCAAGTCGGACGACTCTTCCTCCTCCAACACTCCCACCACGGCGCCCAAGGTCCGCAAGGTTGCTAACATCGACACCGGCCTCGCCTCGCGCTACCACCACAACAACCCACGCGCATCTCCAGGCGCCTCCTCCACATCGACCACCTCACCCTCCATGCCCAACTTGAGCTTCCGACAGACTGTCGAGCTCTCGCAGAGGTTCCAGAAGTATTATAAGAAGTACGAGGAGCTGTACTGGCAGCTGACGGAGGCGGAGAAGCCCCCGACTGAGGCGCAGAGGAACGACCTCCTGAAGATGCACAAGAAGCTCGAGGAAATGAAGAGAGAGATCAAGGCGGGTGCCGTGCACCGATGAGCACCGCACACTACCCGTCACTCACGACGCTGCGCTTAGTGCGCATACGACTTACTACATTACAACCTGCATATATACCCACGGCCTACCGATCTCATAAGGATGGCAGCGAATTGCATACCCACAAAAAGGTGTTTGGGATCTTTCCTACTGGCGGCGTTTGGATGGCAAGACCGGTCACGGATGCATTTGGGATACGGTGTTTTTGTATACTTTCTACTTTCCTTACTCATCAATACGTGTCGCCCACGATCGCTCTCTACATCCACGACTGCGATGATATCTTAATGCTGTCGGTTACAGAAAAGGGTCATCTACGAGCAATTGCATGGCGCAGTAGCTCTGTTTCAATCACTCCAAATCAATACCATCCCAGATGATGCAACCTTTCTCAACATGAATAAACCTCCGTGTGAACTCTGTCCAGAGATGCCGATCACTTGCGGGTGCCTGTATACTGCTTGAAGTCCGCTAACGCCACATGCTGAGTAAAGTTATGGATGCCGCAGCCTGCATCAATACCACATCCAGCACGTCAGGACTCCGAATAACAATATCAGGGACGACAGATCAAAAGCACTCATCTATAGCTGCGATGGCATCACAATCTAGATCGTCGCGCCGATCGCCGCTCCTGGGCCCGCTCCCCGGCAAAGACGCCCAACGCCCAGATCCCAGCCGCGGCCCACGATGGTGCAACAGCCGATCGCGCAGCTCTCGAGATCTGCGGCAGCTACCCCCCTGCCAAACGTCATCCATTCAGCCCTACGCGCTAAACCTCCGCTCTAACGCTCTCTTGACGCCATCTTGAGCACACCACCACCCGTCAAGCCGTCAACCATTGTGTGCACGTTAATAACCGCGCGTGTTCCTGTTACCTCACCACTCATGCGCTTACTACGTAATCTCCTCTCCAAATTTACACGTTCAGCACGAACAGCTCCGAAACGCGAATACGCTCACGTTCACGACGTGCAGATTAAGTGGGAAAGAGCGCCAGTTCAAAACCACGGGGAAAAGCAACGGGAAGAAGCTGGCAGTATGTCTCTAAACGGTACGTAAGATCACATGGTTCAATGGAGAAGAGGAGACAAGACATCGGGATCCCGCATTGGTCGTCTCATGTCTCAAGTCTCAGCGCTCGGGATCCAGCCAAACGGTTACGCGACATCCCGATCCTGTGTTCATTTGCATGAAACAGTTTCGTCGCGGACTCGGGATCTTCAGGCACGCGTTTCGCAGGCTCAACGTCGTTCATGCATTGCGACGGGTGTTTGCGATTCGATGATGAACGGGCGGCATGTCCATGCCAGATATATACAAGGACACCCATCACCAGCCCACCACGGCTAACACACCACAGTCTTCAAGCAACCCCTCGCGCTCCACTCGACACAGCCCCTAACCGGCTTCACGCGCTCAGGCTACTGCGAAGTGCCCGCCTCGGACGCCGGCAACCACGCCATCGCGGGTGTAGTATCGAAAGAGTTCCTCGACTTCTCTGCCGCGCGGGGCAATGACTTGCGCCAAGTGGGGCTGACGGATGGCTGCAAGTGGTGTCTTTGTGTGAGCAGGTGGAAGGAGGCGTTTGATGCGAGGACGGGCATGGATGATAAGAAGGTGCCGAAGGTTGTGCTCAAGGCGACGAATGAGAAGGCGTTGAAGGGTGTGGCGATGGATGATTTGAAGGCTTTTGCTGTGGATAAGGAGTAGAGATAGATGGGTGGGGTAGATGGGGTGGTATTGCTATTGTTGAATGAATGACGAAGCCATAGATGGATGGAGATACAGAGATCAGTTGGTTCATTACACATCAGAATCCCTGTCTTGCGTCGTCCCAATAGCTTGCACACCTCTCTAGAAGCCAACAGCAGCCATCTCTTCCTGCACCTCATCACCCTTTTCAATATCCGCAATCCCCTCATCAAGCGCCACCTCAACATTCTCCAGATCCCTCTCGGTCATCTCCATCAGCACCTCAGGATGCGCTCGCAGCTCCGCAATCCAAGCCTCAAACACCTTCTGAGCCCTCTCTTCAGCACTAATCTCAGCATGCGAGTCGACGGTGATGGCAGCGATGGCAGCAGTATCCTCGGCGGTAGCATTGGTGATTCCAGTCGCATGCATCACAGTCTTCTCCGGCTCAACCAAATCCCTCCTCCCCATGACCCTCACACCGGCATAATAAATCTTCGCACCAATACGGCACAGGTGTTTGTGCTTTTCCTTCCTGCATTGATCGTACATGTCCTCTTTGAAGTTCTTGTCGATTTTCTTGCGGGCTTGCTGTTGTGGGGCTTGATTAGTTTGTGGTTCTTGTATATTGGAAAACAAGAAAGAAGAAAAAAACCAGCAAGACGTTGTAGAAAGAAAGGAGAGGGTAGCTTACATGACCTAGCCTCCCCTGGCGCTTGAAGTTTCTATACGCAAAGTCATGGCGGATACACGCTGGTTTGACTTCATGGCGTTAGATCTCTATATCTCTCTCTCCTCTACCGGCTAACTCACAGTCCCACTTAAACGGCCTGTCATCAACGCCTGTACAAGCATCCGTCACCCAGTCCAGACCCGTAACACCGTATGAGGCCTCATGGTTATGCCACATGTCCATGAAGTGCCAGAGAGGCTCGACAAAGACCATGTAGTTCACGGCCTTGGCTTCCAGGGTGTGAGCCGTCATATCTTTCTCGAGTTCCGCGGCGGCTTTCTTCTTGTCTTTGTGGGCGGAGACATCGGGAATGAGGACGGCGGTTAGGGTCAGGAGGTTGAGAAGGGGAGTGTTGAATTTCATGATTGGCTGGTGGCTGGTAGGAATGTGGATGGGACGATGGAGGTCAAGGTGCTGGGAGGGAGATGTGGATTATGTGGATTATAAGGGGAGTACTTTATCACGGTACTTGGAACGGTAAAATAGGGGACAGAATTCCATGATGTATTCAGTCTGGCATGGAGCCTATTGGGAATATACAGTCCAGGGATGAAAGGGAGTCTTGATGACGATGGACGAGGGGGGAACATGACAGGTAGACGTGGACGACTTATCTTACCGGGAAACCGACCCTTGAAAGACTACACGTATTCGCTGTGCTTGATCACGATAGAGTAAAGGGGAGGACGAGGAAAGGAGCGTGATGATGCATTTTGTCTGGAATTGAACCCTTCAGAATTACACGTATCCCCAGTCTAGAGTTTGTAAAACCAAAGAACACACCCTTGGCGCCGACCAGAAACGCCCATCGCTGATGCCTATAATAATGATAAAAACGCGACCGAATAGCACTGCGCCTTCTTATAGACGGATGTGGGAGAACCACTCGATGCATGACCTCGGGATCTGTATTACCCCTCTGTTCCCCATTACACGTCAAGCACTCAACCAACCAAAAGACCCTTCACCCCGCTGCCAAACCAAACCAAACTCCTCGCGGCGAGTAGCCCCGGGCCAGCATACGCGGGCGGACCCATGCCCTTGAGTCCACCCACAGCCCTGATTTCCAAATCTCCAGCCACAGGAACGTTAGTCCTGCCCTTTTGCAGAATAGCAAAGCGCAGCAGAACCTCCAGACATGTTATGCAGATACTCAGGACAATGAGTACGATGATGATCCACGTAATCTTGGTCATCTTCTTGTCGCTGATGGAGTCGGAGAGAATCTCGCCCAGATCTAAGAAGACCTGGCATCGCTCGTTGAGGACTTGGATGCGGGGTTTGATTTCGAGGTATTCGCGGACGGCAGTGTAGAGTGGATGGAGAGTGGGTTCGGAGTCCCAGAAGAAGCTTGGGGTGTCGAGCATATTCGATGCTGGGAGAGTGGTTAGTAATGGGCGGGTTGTGACAGGGTAGCTCAATACGTACATAGGTTCACCTCGACACGGCTGGTGAAGAGTTGTCCAATCATCTTGACTACATCCGTTCTCCTCATGCCCAACTTTCCGGTGAGTGCTAAGCGCTTCGGTACGTATTGCGCGGCGAGCATAGTCCGGCTCATGCTTTCTTCAAACAGACTAAGCTTGGTGCTCTGCGCGATGGCGTGGCTCATGGCTAGCTTGATCATGTGGTCTCCGCTCTTGAGGGTAATCATGTCGTTGTAGACGCGGGGACGCTGGATCTCGGGGTTGTATTCGAAATGGAACTCTTCCGTCTCGAAGTCGGACTCGGCCAAGGGTCGGGATGCGATGTTGATTCCGGTTGCGACGGCAGAGAAGGTAAGGTCGGCGAGTATGTCCTTTTCCTGTTTCTCGGTGAAGTTCCAGAAGACGACGACGCCGTACGAGAAGACGAACATCTCGCCAAAGGTCAGCGCATTGGGCGCGATTCTGGAGTTCTCGGTCGAGTCTCGGCGGTCGTGCATGCCGTCCCAGGGCTGGTCGAGCTCGTGGTCGTCGCGCACGTAGTATGTCTCTTCGTCGCCAAAGTAGCCTTCGTGGTGATCGCGCTGCTCGTTGCGCTCAATTTCTTCGTCGAGCACCGTCTTTCCGCCGGGGCTCTTGAGCGCCGGGCTACTGCGGACCCGGTAGCCATCGTTTCCGGGCAGAAGCGGGAGGTGGTAGACGGTGTAGAGGCAGTCGTCGTACAGCTTGGTGCGCGCATTGTGGGTGTCCTTGACGAACTGAGCGGTGCTCTTCATCTTGTAGGCCTGGGCGGTGCAGTAGGCCGTGACGCGCGAGAGCTTGTCCGTCCGCTTCGCTTTGGGCAGGCGCTCGGCATAGCTCTTGTCGTTTGGGCCGCCCTTGGGGGTCCGTCGCGCGAGGTCTTCGTCGGTAGGCGGGCCCTCGTACTCGTCGTCGTCAAAGTCGCCCTTCTCGTCCTCCTCCTGGCCCTCCGTCTCGGGCAGCAGGACGAGCTTTTCGCTGAGCTTGCTGGAGCGCGTGGGCATGTGCTGGGGGATCAGGCGGCCAGTGAGTCTGGGATCGAGCGGATGGCGGCCGCTGGGGGTGCGCGTGTGCATGATGGGGCGGTTGGCGTTGCCAGGTGGGCCGCGTCGCTGCTGCTGCGAGGGAATGTCCGAGGCGTACTGCAGGATGTTGTCCACCGAGATCAAGCGCGCGCCTGTCGCCTGTCGCTGTCCTGCGCCGGGTCGTTGGGGTGCTCGGGGTGCAGCGTCGCGGCTGTCGGTCATGAGCACCGTCGGCCCTCTCTTGCTCTTAGCTGTAGGCCCGCTCATTTTGCTGGTTGCTGCTATCCACTCCGCTAGTGCCTGTAGCTGCAAGAAGGTTTGGCACGTCAGATGTCGCGATTGCGAGCGATTGGAAGATCAGAGCGTTGGGCTATAGAGTGCTGGCAGTGGTTCCGATAGAGCTGTACAGAGCGCGACTGACGATGCGCGTACTCTGCCGATATTGAACGTAAGGTGCACTTCGACGTTGTGAAAGCCGGCCGCGGTTCACGTCATTGCGCCTTGGCGTGCATGCACCAACTCCACACCTAACGGCTCGCCAAACGTCAATCAGGGGTGCATACATCTCACGCTTGACTACTTTCACATGCATCTAGGCACTGCTAACAATGAATATCAATTGGTGGGGTTATATCTCAGTTGAACTCGCTATTGATGGTCTCACAGAGAACGCCTGAACACCATGCTCTAGAAAGAGAACAGCCGTCCGTTACCAGAACATGGCCGATCCAAGCATCGGTTCAAAAACAAAGGAAAGCCTGCTGGAGGTCGGATGGCGACGAAGCGAGGGGGTATCTTCTCCATGTCCCCGCTGGTCTTGATTCCCTCCGCGCTTCGCATTCTGACAACGCCAAGAATAAACAAACATTACATGTGGTATCAAAACAAGCCACGCAGCTGCACTGGCTTACAGGCGCTTGCCTGGCACGAAGATGAAGAGGCAGCAGACAGCTACCGTGACAGCCAGGAACATGACCATGACAGTGATGGAGCGCCGGTTCAGCGTCTTCTTGACGAATGGCTCCCTGATGCGGTTGAAGTCGAAGAAGGTGTACTCGCTGAATCCAGCCAGGGCGAGGATTGGGTCAAGCATGTACTGGTGCGTGAAGATGAGGTAGATGGCGATAGTGAACGGGAGGATGATCTGTGCAGAACATTAGTTGATTCTCCATCGTATAACCGAAAGGTGACATACCCAGCAGCGCGTGCTTCTTGACTTGTCAAGGAATATAAGAATGAACGACGTCCACATGGCCGCAAAGAAGCTGATCAGTCCTACTATGAGACGGAGCATCATGCTCTGTGGCACAAGGTTGCCGAGGCCCTTGTTCTGCAAGAAACCTGGGTATGCGTCGCGCTCCATGGCTTGGAAGACGTAGTCTTTGGCACTGTCAAAGAGCTCGGGATCCGCACGCTGCTCTGGCCCTTCTATGGCCTCTTGGACCTCGGTCAGGATACTCTGGGGAATTATTATTTCCCGCTCAGACCCAGGGAGCAAGTACGTGTACAAGATCTTCTCTGCCGACGCGCGCAGGTCCTCTCTGCTGGGCTGAGTGTTATCAGCGGACGAGTTCTGGCCGGGTGAGCTCGAATCACCCGGAGTGTCTAGTAAGTTCAGGCTTGGACGCGGGAACTCTCGGCTCTGATTGCTACCCTGACTGTTTTGTGGCGAGTGGTTGCGGCTGCCGCGGTCGGAACGAAGAAAGGCGGACAAGCGCTGGTCAGACAGATTGTCACCTTTCTCGTTAGAAGGGCCTTCTCCAGCGTTGTTCAACATGTAAGATGAACGCCTACTGTTTTTCTCGAGATCAGGAGTTTCTTCTATCATGCTCCTGTGTAACCGTCGGACGTAAAGCCTGCATAGCTGCAGATGTTGCGACACATCAAGCCTGTTGGTGGTCAGCGTGGTCCCATAGCCTGGACATGGGATTGTCTTACCAGAAGTCCAAGTAGTCGACAGAGCGCTGCTGGTCGCGCATGTAGATGTAGAAGGAGAAGAGATCCAGTGGTGGCCTGGTTGTCCTACTGAGGACTTCGAAGAGCGTTGGGAATCGATTGCGGTGGGCTGGGGGCACCGGAGAGCCGGCATCCTGGGGGTGCGACATGACTGGGGTGAGTCGAGAGATGTGGTGTTAACGAGAGGCGCGCGACGATCGTCGCTGGTGGGTGAAGAATGGCAGGTATCGATAGACGATAGACGATAGACGCAGGGTCTGGCGTAGGCTGGCGGCGGGCGGTGTGTTTGCGTTGCTAGTGCTGTGGTTGCTGAGCGAACGGCGGCGAGCGTGATGGTCCGGCCGGTCGCGACGCCAGGGACGACGTGTTGGTAATTGGGGGGAACAGGGCGACGATGGTCAGGTCGCGGGGAATTGAGCTTTGCGGCGTCGCGTCAGCGCCTCGGAGCGTCGTGAAGCTGGCGTGGCAGCGGGAAATTAGGAGTGAAGTCGGCACCTCTAGCTTGGCGCGACGGTTGGCGGAGCAGGGAGGCAGCGGCAGTGGCTTGCGATGGTCTTGGTCGCGCACTGCACGACGGCGCTGGTGTCGATAAGAAGCAACGGGTCACATGAAACTGCCTTCACTGTGCTGCGTCCGACTCGCGTCCTGTGGATGAGCTGGTGGATCAGTTGCGCGCGGTGACGATGATGATGCAGCCCGGATGCAGCCCGTGTGCCTGAAACGCGAGGCTGTGAGGGTCGAGAAGGGCCGCGAATAGCTACTGCCTTTCCACGTGACAGTCCCTGCCACCCCAGCACCCAGCACCACCTGGACAGGTAACAAGGCAGCTGTCACCCATGGTAGGTGGAACGTTGAGAACACAGCGCAGAAGGCGGCGGCCGTATCTCTAGAAGTCATTTGCCCAGCTACTGTGCTTTCTTTTCGCCGATCATCGTCC